GCTCTGAGGGTTGCTTTTGCTAGGAACTCTAAATAATTCCCTTTTGATAAGCCCGTTGTTATCAAATCCAAGGAGTCTCATGAGCAGCACCTCCTGACTTTTTTCCTTTGCGGACTAAAGGGCATGAAGGCTTCTTCTGTTGCTTGGAAGATGTGTGAAGGTTCAGGTTTTAAACCTCAAATCCTGTTTTTACTTCAGAAGTTGATTGCACAAGCGGACAATGAATGAGTGCCTCTCCATTTCCCTTGCGGTCAGAGAAGATCCTATTCATACTGAGTTTACAAGCAAGCACTTCCTTTGGTAAGCTTCCCATGCAATTCAATTTATGTGCATGCTTTCAAGCTCTGTCTTCGGGTCTGGACTAACATCAGAATAAGTGAGTGAGGCAGGCTCTCTTCTCAGCCCACCGCAGCATTTTCTGCAGCATTTTGAAATGATGAAACACGCTGTGTTTTCTGTACGTTGCTGCAGTCCTGTTAAGTCGCTGAGAGCTTAATGAGGCTAAGCACATACATGGGTATGTGCTCACATACATGAGCTTCAAGAGGCTAAGCACATACATGGGTATCATTTACTGTATGATGTGCATGTATCCCAGAATTTTACTTAACAATCAATTTGATGTTTTTACTTCCTATAGTTACTGGCTGGCAGCCTAGAATCCGCTGGCACCTACACATAGGATTCTCCTCTGAGTGTTGCTGTGACCACGTCGTGTGTTTGAAATAATATGTATTAACAGTAAGTACTTTATGACCAGAAAATAAATCATTATTTATGGAAGACTTGGAATTTGTAGTCAGTACTAGTCTTTACTTGTAGTGAGGAGCCATCAGCTTAAGGCTTTGGCTGTAGCAAGAGAAAGGAAGACCTGTCCTTGAGATATTCTAACATTTTCCACTCCAGGAAGCCCCTTTCCTATGTGCATCTTCTTCGCTGTATAACAGAGCACAATCCATTATGGAAATGTTCCGTTAATGGACCACACAGTACCTCAGGATCCTGATATGGAGATTTTTAGGGAAGGTGGAGATTAACACTCACTTGAAACAGCAGTGGAAGTTAATCAAGTTGCACAGTGAATTCTAAGCTAGTTTTGGCCACAATACTAGAGCTATTCTTGAGAAAAACGTCATGAGGTACTTGTGACCACAGGTAGGTAAGACCTTTGTCATCAGCCACTCATGAGGAAACATGAGTGTGTCCAAGAGGACATTGTCTAAAATAAGGCAGTGTGTTGGCCTTGGCTGTTGAGTCATTGGTATCACTTCCTGCAGCCCCTGCTTTTGCTCCGGGTGTTTCTCAAGGGAGCACTGACTTAGCCTAGTCTTTTTGATTCTTCTAGAGTGAATAAGATCACAGCTCCGGAGCAGTAATGATGAATATGTCCTTGATTCAGAGGAATGTGCGCTCCTTTTAGCACAAGTGTGCTAAATCTTCCATGAGATGCCTGCCTGATTAGTTTTTATCTTTACACGTCATGGCTCCACTGATTTGAAAACTTCAGAGTCTCTAGTTGTAAAATGGAGAATTCTGCTTCACGCGGAGAATCTGTTCAAGTGAGAGAGCTGTGTTAATGGCTCGTGCCTCGGGGTACCACTGAGAGCTGTTGCATATAGATCTCTCTTGCCTTTATTTTAATGTTTGATTAGACTTTTCTTTAATCACTGAAAATACTACGTGGAACTTCTGTTCTCTGGCAGAGACAGATTCTCACCAGGTTTCAGTGACAGACCCTTATCAGCTACATTGAGGTTTGCTGCATTTGTAAAGCACACCTTATGGAAAAGAAAAAAAAAACCTTCACCTCTGAGTTTCTTTCCTTAAATATTGTTGCAAAATTTCTGACGTCAAACAATGAGACACAAATTACCCTGTGAACTGTTAACATATGCCTGTTTACATATGATATCTTATAGCCAAAACAGATTAAGATTTGAAGGTCTAACTGCTGTTGAGTTTCCACTTCTGTGAATCATACAGATCAGCTTATTCATCACAGACACTTACTTTTATTCTTTAACTCTTTCAAGCTACTTCTATCCAGAGCAGAGTTTATGGGGGACATGGGACACATGGGAACAGAGAGGTCACAACTGCATAACAAACCCCAAACTTTGCAAATGAAAGAGCAAAGAGCTACCCGTAACTACAGCCACCCCAATGAATCAGTAGCGGTTTGTAACTTCCATCAGGTCAGTTGACAGGCACAGAAGCCTTCCCCGGTTGCCAAGGCTAGTCTATCCTTCTACCTAGTGAAGTGCCAGCTGCAATTTGCACTGATGACCAAGCCTGTAATCTTTCCATTTCAGAAGGAAAACTACTTGTAAAAACCAACAACAAGAGAGAACCAGCCATGAAAAATCAACAGGATGGCCCAAATTCCAGGTTCAGAGAAAAAGAAATTCACTCATCGTACTAGGATTCCTTGGATGATTTAAACTATATGATATAGTTTAAATTCAGAAATGCCAAACATTTTGGAGAGAACTTCATTGATTTCAGTAAATCAGTAAAACAGGCAGTTTTCTCTAGCAGTTGAATCTATGCGGTGCATCACTGATTTTGATGGGACCCAAGTACTCTCGTCAGCAATCCTGATGTAAGTGCACGAGTATTTGTCTTTTTCTGGATAATATGGCTGTGGCCATATGAAAAGAGGTACCTCTGATGATAAAAGAAAGAAACCTACCTCTGTTTAAATACACAAGCCTCTTCACGTCATATGTGATTGTTATTAAAGCTAAGCAGGTAAGTGCTGCCAAAAATCAGACCATTTCTTTCAGCTGAAGTCTGAGAAGGATTTCAGAATTTAGGCTGCCCCTGCACTTGCTGTTCAGGCTCTTTGATTCACTGACGTGGCCTGGCTCAGGCTAGCAAAGGAGAGAAGGAAGATCATGTATTTTGAGGCAGGAATGTGAACATTCAAAAATACCTTTCCACTTAGAGTGGCAATAAGTGAGTGCTTGACTATTTGTTCTCTTCATTTAAAGTGTTGCTTCAGATTTGTTTGTTTTTTCTCCCAGCTGCATCATCGTAAGCAGGCAGTTCACATTATTACCTGTGGATTAGCTAACACAGGGACAGATTGAGTGCAGCTTCCACTAGGGCCAACAGCGCTGCTATGGGTCAAGCCTTTCTCTTTAACGTATGACAACAAGGTGTAACCAAGACAGCAATCTCCCTTATAGCATTACTCATTGGAACATGAGGGTAATGACCGTATCAGGAACTGTAGCTATCTAAGGTTATACCGGCACAAACACGTAGCAAACCAAACCTGCTGCCACCAGTTTGTCGGTACGAATTAATCTGGGTATAATTTACTATTTATAATATTATGTGTTATTGGAAGGCACACTCAAGCATCCAGACACCTACACTAACTAAATTTGAGGTGTGACACTGCGGCCATGTAAAATGTATGTACATCTTTGCATCCGAAAACTTGGGAGACTGATTACCACTAGGGATTGAATTAGATCTATGAGGACAACATTAATGCACCTCTGTCAGAAACTGCAGAGATTGTTTAACTACCACAAGTTTCTGAGTGTTCTGCTTATAAATGGCACTGGAGTAAATTTAACCACAAACTTAAAGATGAAACAAAAAGCTATGAACAGTTTAGGACATTCCCTCGCCCCCTCCCCCCCCCTTTTTTTTTTGACAAATGCTGTAGTTAACATCCTCCCTCGTGCTATTTAACTGAAAATCGGTGACCCATCTTAAAAACTATAGGTTTGAGACCTGAGAGGTCTTAAAAGGGACCTGATTTTTACACATAAAAATACAAACAAGTACGTACTGCTCAACTGCCCCCCAGTCTCAGCTATTTCAGCTGAGCTTCTACAGACAGAAACACCCATGATCACTGTTCAGTTTTGAAAAGATGGAACTTTGGGGTTAGACCACGTTATGAAAATTACCCAGCTAATTCCCATGAAGTGTTTTGAACACAAAAGCTCAGTGCTAACGGTTCAGTTCCCTTTTTTAGCTATGAAATCAGCTTGCAGATTAATATTCTTCAATTACAAAATAACAATTTCAGTTTGAAGTGGTTTGCACTCTTAAGTGCAATTGGGGTTAATAATGGTCTACGAAAGGAAAGCTGTTAGCAAACAGTAACCCAGGGTGAAAAGCTTAGCATTTAGGTACCTTAGCTACATTTGACACATGTCAGATTTTAAATTCAGAAAAATGACCTAGGAAAATACCATCTAACCCACTAAGGATCCCAAAGCTCAAAGAAACCTATATTTTCTGCTTCACATATGCCAAGAGATAATTGCCACCTGACCACCAAGGCAGCTCCTTTTACCTATGGCTATTTCTAATTCATATATGTAGTGCCTTGTCTGCTAGACGTGTTCAGATCAATTTAGGTAATAAATATGGAGTGTCACAAAGTTTAAGTCCTTTTTTGGATCTGTGCCCAAATGCATAGATATCTGAAGCTTATATAAAATGAGATTAACTGCTTTTCAGTTCAAGGCATGTGGTTACAATGTATTTGTATTATCTAGAAATTAGTTATTGGAATAGATTTGTAAATGATTGTAGTCTTCTAACCTACAGTATCAAGGTAAAGCCCCCTGGGACTTCCAAACGCAAAAAGCCTGAAATAAAAGCTTCTGAATCTCAAAAGAAAAGCATAAGTTAGGGCAGAGTGTTCAATGATTATAAGAACAAGGCCAAGATCCTCAAAGGTGAGTGGTAATTTTGTGTGTCCACACACAAGGTACAGATGTGCAGCCCTTCCTGCAAATTAAGCTCTATTAAAGCTTCTTGAGGTTTGTATTAAAACACAGACGTGCTCCCAAGCAGGGTATATGACTTGGGTAAATCCTTGGTCAGAGTACCCTACTCCGAGTATTCCCAGCAGTTACAGAGACAGTAACAGCACTATCTGCAATATTGAGCAAAGCACTCGCTATTACATGCCGGCAGAATCTGCATCTCTAATACACTGAAAAAATTAGCACACTGACAAGGAAGGTTAAATGCTGCAAAACACGTTTTATTTATCAAATGCAAGCTTTCAGAATTTCAGGAAGGTTAAAAAAAACAAGTTAAACTGGAATTCCTCATATTCGGCAGTTTAAAAAATGCTTTCAGTTACAGCTGAGACCTTCAACTTTGCCTATAAATGAAACACTTTAAATAACAATCAGTTACACAACCTACTTACAATCAGCAGCTTATCTCACAAGACCTCTAATAACAGATTTTCTTTGTGGCAGCAGCGTATCCAGCTGACTTCTCCAGTGTTGACCAGCTTTGTTTATTCTGACTGTCAATCGCTCTTTTAAGTGCTTCATCTGGCACAAGATCTGATCCTTTTACATCAGCATGGCTACAGCCAATTTTAGGGCATCTGTTAAAAAGAAGAGAGAGACTCCATTAAATTGGAAGAATTGTATTTGCCAGATATAGGCTTTTACATAACATCTGCTGGTTTATTGTATTTATCTGGGATTCACTCTCTCTGTCAGTTCGTTACCTCTTTTCCACTTCACCAGCTCTCTGGGGGGAAAAATAAATCCATTTATCTAAACTGGTGGGAATCAACAGCTGAAGGAAGGAAGGAACACAGCAAGAGACGGAGCCTCTCACCTGTAGATCACTCTCTTGCTTCACGTACACAAGCTGCCTGCATCAGTAATTATACTAGCATTGCATAGACATCTTTCTGTGTTGCTTTCTCTCTTTGCAGTCCTCTACAAACTGCATGTAACTATCTCTTACCTTATTAATCTGCAGTGGAGAAGTATAATCTTCACTGATAGATAAATAGGGAAATTAATTTCTAGGGAAATAGATAAAAGAGAATGAGACCTGCAAAGGCTGACTGGTGAATCAGATTACCTAGTTGGTGTAAAAATTTACCTGGCCTTTTATCAACTGAGAAAGCACAGAAAGGAGAGATGGGGTCAAATTAACAGCCTCTAAATGATAATCAAATACAAAATGTCTTACAACTACTTGAAACGGCCAGATAAAGACAGCAGGGTGAAAGATATTCAGGGACCAAAGGTCATTTTCCTTTGGCAGTGGCCCAAACATGCACAGATGGTACCTGTATTTAGAAACAACACTTTTCCTGAATTTTTCCTCTGTTAGGAGTGACTTTTGTCTGAGGTGCTGAAGTTTTTCATGCTCAGTACTCATAGCTTTTATTGTCAACAGCTTACTGTGTTTGTCATGGATAAGTCATTTAATTGCTCCGTGCCTCAGTTTTCCCATTTATCACCGTATTAGAGCAATAGGTTGCCAGATTAATGAATAACAAGTGCTCAGAAAGCTTCCCACATTTCCTGTAAGCATAAAGTATTAGTATATCCTTCCAGGCAGTGGAAAATAGTGAGCAAATCAAGACACATTAAGAGTTGCCTAAAGGAGTCTATGGTGAGTCTATCAGCACAAAACTGGTGGCTGTGCATACATCAGCTGAAGAGCTGCCATTCAGCCCGTGCACTGCCAAGTGCATCGAAGGGATCCCGTGGATTCAAAGTGGAAAGTACATGTGAGGAAACAGCCACTTCTGTAACTCTGGCGTGAGCAACAGCTTTGATTTCAGAGTCAGGATAGAAAGGATCTCCCTAACCATGACTCCGCTCTATCAAGATACCTGCTTCCACTTGAATATTGCTGGCAGGAGCGCAGTCAAGTAGCAACACCACGAGAATGGGGTACTCAAATGGGGAACTTGGTGCATCAACTGGCCTGTCTTCCCACCACAGCAGACTATGGTTTTTCAAAACTGACTGCATTTTCATGAGAAAGGTTAAAATTACAGCAGGTCAGTGAGACTGGGCACAGAAAACCAAGAAGTCTTTCTTAACTTAGTTACAGAGAAGCCGAGTTATTGCTGTGCTTGTGCTTTTTTAGCATACTGGAAAAACTACTGTAAAAATGGTAAGGTTGCAAGCTAAAAGCTCAAAATTAAGAACTGCCAGGGTTCAGACTGCACAAATAACTTCAGTTTGGGTGTAAGGTAGCTTCTAAAGCTAAATGTTGTACAGCTTACATGATTTTTTTTTTATTCTATATTTTCTCTAAGTCTCTAATTTCTTAAAAGGTAAAATAAAAATTCAATCATGTGACCCTATTAGTTTTTCAGCAGTGCTGAAACTTTTGATTCACCACAACAGTCTCTACTACCATGACATTTTCCTGATGGATTTAACAACACAGAGAATTATTTAGATATGAACATCCTAAATTCAGTTCCATATTGCAGAAGGTGTTTCTGTTGTGGTTTTGGGCTGTTGAGCACGTTTTCTAGCCTGTCCCTATCCTCCAGGACACTCACTTTCTTCACTCCAACTTGTGAGCGATTTCCCAACTCCTGTTCATTTTTCCAGCCAAGTTTCTGTCCATCCATGCTGCTGGTTTTGTTGTTATTCCCAGTATATTGCACCCACTCCACTTTTTCTCCCTGGACCTCTTAACACAGACAAGGTACTTCTGTCTTGTTCTTCAAGCTATCTTGACACTAAGGTAGTGGCTGAACATCCCAATCGATGCTTGATTTCATAGCAATGCTTTCCTGTAGCCAGGAAGGAGCGTGGAATAAAAAGTCCCTCTCCACCTTTGTATCCCCATGGCGGAGTATGTAGAGGCTATCAGAAATGCAAGAGCAACAGATGGAGGAAGTAAGCCGCCCGTGGCATCATCTCTGGGGAAATTAGGTTGCTAGTCTCTGACAGACCTTCCTGAGCATGTGCAAACTGCACATTTATTAAAAAGTCCACAACTGGTAAGTTTCCATGAGGTCATCAACCCCAAAGCATGAGGCTCTAGCGTATATGGTGTGAAAACAAATGTGAAATTAATGATGAAATGATACGTCCTCTAAATTTGCTCTAAAAAGTGTTTGAGTCCCTTTTCTTCTCTTTTTTTTTTTGTTTTTAAATCGAAACCATCCTAAATTTGAAACTTACCGGGGAGAATTTCAGGTTTAAAAATTAAACTGTTACATCTTTTCATTCAAAGAAATATGTCCTGTGTGGAAAGTGGCAGGCTGCTTTGATATAAAGTAAGAATTATTTAATTGCATCATAGTAGGAACTGCACGATCCTGTCTGATCATTCTTAAACTCTGTACTACCTAAAAAGTTGTGTTTTAATATTTCTCACTTTAACACTCATTTAAGTGTTTTAATATTTCTCAGTTGTATTGGAATATAACTGCAAAAGAGGGTGCACAGAGGAGACTTTTTTTTTCCATTAACTTCAGGGCTTGCTAAATAAGCAGCGGGAACAAAATGAGCAACTAAATTTTAGGAAGATGAAGTTTCTCTTTGTTGTTCATGGCTATACGAAATCTCTTAGCTCCTGTTGTGCAGGTACCATGAGTAGCTGTAACTTCCCCACAGACTTCCTGAATATTTCCTTACATATTGTTTTCATTAAAAATAAGAGCTCCTTCACGTGTACAGTACTAATGAGGAGACTGTGACTTGGGCAGACACTGAGGTATTACTTCCTGCAGCCTTGCCAATCCAAATACATTTCCTAGAACAAGTGGAGTAAAATTCCACTTACACAGCAAAGCAAATAGCTTTTCCACACATTCTTGTTAGCTTACCGGACTTTTTTCTTTTGCTGCTTTCGAGTCTGGATAATTTTTAGAATGGCGTCTTCTTCATAAGTATGACCACAGACTTTGTTTCGAACTGGCCTCTTCATTTCCATCTGTAATCAATAAGGTTTGATTTAAAGGAACTGATAATGCCCATGAAAATGCTTCTTATGAGATTCTATGTAAAACAGCAGGAAGCGTGCTTGCCATTCATACATGGCATTCCACTCAGATTACAGGGTCAGGTCCTGCATGGTAAACTGCATTCCTACTTACATGGGTTTTTTTCCCAAGCAATGTTGCTCTTCTCTGGTAATGCTTGTAATTTATACTGCCCGATTTTTAACAAGTATTGCAGATTTGTAATAATCCAATGAAGAATATGAAATAACTATTTCCCAATCGATTCCAGTAGCAGTGATAGCATACCTGTGTAATAGGACAAATAAAGTTCATCTGACTCTGAGTCACAGCTATATCTTCATCGATTTGTTCAATGGCCTCATTATCATTATCTGACTGACGACAAACTGTAATGGGAAGCAAGACAATTTTCATTTAATATTTAATATAGATAGCCAATACTTAAAATAAGCAAATAAAATCCAGCATTTGCCAAGCATCTCACAGTGATATCTAAGATGCCACAACACATTTCTGTACCACTCCCTGAACAAGATACTGCAAAAAATACCATACTATAGTCTGTTAGAAAATGTGGATTTTTAAATGGTAACCACTTTTTTTGTGTGTGTGTGTGGCTATTTATAGCTATATATAGCTAGAAAGGAGGGCTGGGAAGGAAAGCAAGCCGGCCTGAATATATGCAAAGCCTTTGGTATTCTCTGTTCAAGTTCACCAAAAACCAGTAACATGCAGGTGAGTCCCCAAAATCTAACAAAGGATGAGGTGGAGCTTTTGCAGATTTGGCAGTCCTACCCTGAAGATCAATTTGTGTTTGAATGTCATAAACGGGCTTGCTATATAGCCTCTATACATAGTATATACTTTCAAAGGAATTTGTACTATTTATCATAATGCATCATTTGTAAAGTGATGCCGCTGTATTTTAACAAGACTACAATTAGTGAAAAACAAAAGCCAAGAAAGTGCTATTTGAGATGGACAATAGAAACGTTATTGAAGTAACCTCAAGGAGGAGGGGCAGAATGAAATACTGAAATGTCCCAGAAAGCACCTGGTAGCCCAATCCCAGGGAATGAGGGGCAGACAAGCAAGAAGAAATCCACCTTGAGCTAGAGAAGATGGAGGTCCCCACCTTTACCAGAAGGAGGCAAGGTGTAAGCAACTCTCCATACCCAGGGGCACGCCAGCCCAGGGTTCCACGCAGAAACTAATTAGCCAGAGTCAAAAGCTGAGACACAGGAGCAGCTAAGGAGGATATATATTGCTAAGTATAACCTTAATAAATGTATACGTGTTGTTTTATCTTTTCTGAACTTTGGTCTGTTATTGTGAATCTAGGCTTTTAGTTGAATGCAATTGTTTAACTTTAAATCTTATCTGGTAATAATAGCAAACTTAACACCTGCCACAACTTTCCATTGCTTTGGGGTAGTTCTGCAATGTTTTTGCAGCAGTGCCCTGGGGTGTAGTCCTCAAGGTGTCCCAAGATGAACAGAACATTTTTCTCTCTAGCTGCACAAGCTAGTTTGCAATGTAGCAGCACAGGGTTCGGAGAGGATGAAATCCTTCAGTGGTCTGTGTTGGCTTTGAGTGCCAAGGGGGCAGTGAGAAACACAAGTGAACACAGAGGGTTTAGCGTTAATTCATGATTTGCCTTCTACAAAGTCTCAGCCCTGGTTCCCGTTGCTGCTGTTGCACACTAGCCGATCTTTGCATCTTTGCACCCCTGGTATTCAGTCTTCCGTATCTGTTAAGGCCCAGTGTTTCCTAACTTATGGTCAGTCCTGCATGCCTGTATAATACCATCACCTTCCGGATGATAACAGCAGACATCACCCTTGGAGCAATCACAATCTCTCACACCCAGTCTAGACTGAGCACACTGCCATGTGAGCCAGCACATCTCTGGTTGAGGTACTCTTGGCATCGGTATTGCAGCCATCGCTCTACCACAGCACCTCTCGGTATGCCGGTTTTATTTGCATGTTTTTCCTTCCTCCTTAACAGAGCTTGCCCTTCTCTCCATCCCAATATACCAAGAGTTTTCCAAGCATTCAGGAATGTTTCTGACCCAGGTACTCCTGCAAATACCTAGGCAATACTCAGACAAGCATCAAGGGTATTTCTGTTTCTGTTACTAAGGCCTCATTCAATCAATAGGGTGTGGATGCAGGGGGAAAAGGAGCTCAGATGTCCAATGTCAATAATAATTTTAAGGCTTTCATCTCCAAGAATATTAATATACCTTTACCAGATACTGACCCCGTAACAGAAGTAAACACTTGCAAATTAGAAGGAAAAAGTGGACACAATTTAACGGTAAATACTGAAACTGCAATGGTATAGACATCAGAAAAAGACTTGCATCAGTTACCAGTTTTCAGAAAAGAAAACCTGTCACATATTATTCTTAGATTGCTCATATGTAAGGTTTATTCTATCATAAACACATGGTATTTTGAAGAAAATACAACTTTTTGGGGAAAAAAAGTGGTTTTTTTTAATGAATCTTTTGAAATAAAAAGCAATGGGTGAAATCCCTCCGAGACAGCAAGGCTAAACGATATTGCAAATATTGGTAGGTGCCAGCTTTGGCATGGGCTGCTTTATTTAAATACCATACTGATTTTTTTCCTATGAGTAATGCCAACAAAGAACAAGAGATTCAGAATTTCCTTAAAATCATGTATCTTCAAACTTTGACATACTGCAGCTCTAATCTTT